ATTTTGTACTCAATGTTAAAGAGTGTTTTTATCAACTTAATTCAGTAGATAAAGTAATCTTTTATCGTCTTGTGAAATAAAGTAATTTTTATCTACTGTTTGTATTTTATCAACTAATTTCAGTAGATAAAATAGTCTTTTATCGTCTTGTGAAATAAAGTAATTTTTATCTACAAAATAAAACGAAATATTATATACGACGATAAAGATATTGTTTATCGTCTTGTATAATAAATAACTATTTGTTTACTTATTTTATAAAGTTTAAGCAACAAGTTTTTTTCAAAATTAGTGTTTGGTATAAAAAAAACCTTAATATATACCGGGTGTCAAATTAAATTTCTGCTAAGATTGCCTGTGACTTCCAAATAAAGTTGTCAACATTATAGATAACCAGAAGATTAAGTTTGGTTTCTCTACATATTTCAATCAAAATTTGATTAGAAGTAAACATTAATTTAAAAAACTGAGTTGTTTACTTAATTTTTACTCGAAATTACAACTTTATGCCGTTTCGAGGAAAAATAAATAGTGCACAGGAAATGCCAGCGATATTAAAACCGAAAAACACTGGAAGCACAATGTCATTCGCGTTACCCGTCTAAGAACTCGGCAATTAACAGTGAGTAAAGTGCATTTTATTGCATCTTAAACATTCGAGAGCTCTCCTGAAGGCCGTCAAAGACGAACATATACAAAACAATTGTATATAAAATGTGGTTGGAAACTGCGCTCGAATTGTAATTCGAGGGCAGTTTGTTTTGGAATTTTTCAAAGTTCCTCATTATCCTGGTGCAGCAGGAAGTTTTTTCGCTGACTTTCGRCGCTGCTGAAATAATGAGGTGCAAATATAAAACAAATTAGCCGGTTCTGTGTAACTCGGTTTTATTCGAGCTTGTTAAATGTGCTTTTTCAAACTTATGCCGAGCGGAGCTATTGACTCAAATTTCCTGAAAAAAGCTCTATATTTCGCAATTAGGGCGGTTTTTCAGCGAGAACATCTGTGCAAGAAGCCGTGATTTAGTGTTGCTCATAAGCAATTACTGGTTTATGTTCGTATAAACGAGCGCAAATAAACAAATACTGAGAATTATTGAAATTTATGCTGAAAATGAACAAAACCCACTCGTAAATAAATATATGGCGAGCGGTGGGACCAGATATGTTGCGATTTGTTTAAGCATTTTTACAATTTTCAAACACAAAACATGTGCGGGTTGTAAAATAAAATTGCCGTAAAGTGTCAACAACTTAATTTTATGACATTTTTAATATATACACAGATCCCATATGGCGAAAGTTGTTTGTTTTTGACGGCTTAACGGTTCACCTTATTTGGGCAAAATTTATTTGGAAAACTTCARAGAAACTCACAAGTAAATACTTTTTCCACTCAGATTTTTATTTTATTTTATTTTTACAAAATTTTTAATTTTAGGTCAAAAAAATATAAATAAGTATTTAAAATTTTGATATATAACACATACAGGAGGTCCCAGAGTTGAAAAAGTCCATTAGTGACCTTTAAATGGTTCAATTAAAAAAATTGTATAGGAGGTTAATAGTGCATCACCTAAAACTATTTTCAACCATACAGCATGTCCCAAAAATAAGTTACGATAAAAACTTGTGTTTTTTTAAATGAAACACCGTATGTTTTTTGACATTATTTGATGTAGCTTTTTAAAACAATGTTTTTACGCTAAACTTTTATTAGATTTTGCTTATTTTTAGAAAGAAGACGTTTTTTTTTTTGACGAAAACATTCACTTTTTAAAAATTTATTACACAAAAACTAAGACAACTAGAACAAATTTTTTCTCACTTGTGCAAAGAAGAAAGTACAGAATTTAAAGCTGTAGCAATTTTTTAGTGTATATATCTTTTTAGTTATTGATTATAAACACCTAAAAGTAATAATTTTAGAAAAACAATTTCATAATCGTTTAAATACAAAAACAATAGAGTATTCCATTTAATTTTTTTAAGCTATTCAACTTTTAACAAAGGCCTCCACTTTGTTATCTTTGCAAATGCAACACACTAAAAAGATGTTACAATCTTTTAGCTTGTACCTTCTTTTTTGCGGTAGTAAAAAAAATATTTCTAAATGTCTTAGATTTTGTGTAATAAATTTTTAAAAAGTGCATGTTTTTGTCAAAAAACCGTCTTATTTATAAAACTAAGCAAAATCGACCAATAAAAGGTTAGCTTAAAACCACTGTCATAAAAATCTACATCCAAAAACGCTAAGAAACATATGGTGTTTCATTTAAAAAAACACAAGTTTGTATTGTAATTTATTTTTGAGACACGCTGTATAGTTAAAAATAATTTTAAACGATGGATTTGATTAATATCTATGAATGTCCTATATAATTTTTTTATTTTACTATTTAAAGGTCACTAATGGACTTTTTCAACTCGCTGGGATACCCTGTATGTATTTAAAATTTTAACATTCGGAAAATAAAATTAACAATTATTTCAATATTCAATAAAAAATATGGAACTAAGCGCCTTTTTTTAATTATTTGCCTTCAGAACATAATTAATAGAAATTAACTTGTGATCGTGTTTTGAGAATGAATTTTTGTTTGTTAAAATGACATGTTTTTCGATAAAAACTGAATAAAATGTAGATAGTTGTAATCCTTGGATTTCAGTCTTTGCTAAAAAAGTTTTATAATGGATTGTCATTTGAAAAAATTAAAATTTTGCAGAACTCAAAAACAAAAACAAAAATTCTAAAAATTATTATTCTTGATAAAATGTACATTTTTACAGTACTTTATCATTCATCAATTAGTTTTTTCCAAACAGGAAATAGTTTTGTTCTATTCTTGATATTCACCCTGTGTGTATAACGTGGGTAAAAAATATGAAAAAAATAGGACTTTTTCTTAGATTTTTGTCCTGTTATTTTCTTTACTTTTTTTTCTTTTAATTACAAACATTTCTACACCTTACAGTTTTATACATTACTAAACCCCTTTTATTTATATTGCTTGTATTAGTTTTATTTTTGTTTTATTTATTTTATGATTTGTTTAAACTACAAATGAACATAAACGTAAATTCCTGACATTTTTACAACTCGTGTTCACGTGAGAATTTTTTGAAAATTTTGCAAATTTGTGTGAGAAAATGAGTACGCAAGTTTGTTATTTGTTGACAGAAAGTAATAAAAATTTAAAATATATATCTTGTGCAACAACAATGTTTTTGTTTCAGTGATTTCTATTTTACGGTTTATTATTCTAGCTTTTGAAGGCATTTTTCACGATTTTTGTGTGTTTTTCGACAGTC